AGGGAGAAATGTGCTAGAAGGGTCTACAAGGAAGGTTTTGTGTGTTGTGTATATTCTGCATTTTGGCTTTCTCGGTAAACTAGAAGTCCTTTAACCATCAGGATACACATTTCTTGTACATATTTTGGAGGAATCTCCTTCCAAATTATTCATAATCGCCCAGATGTTTCAACTAACAGTGTACCACATTTTATTTCTTTATTTTAGTTCTTAGCAACGTCTGGGGGAGATGCTACATTTTGCCTCCCCTGTTTTGACTCCCTCCCTGACAGCTCAGTGGTAGCCCACACACTTTGCCTGCAAAGAGACCCATCAGGGATTCTCAGCATTGCCATCTGAATCTGGGAAGTGTTCCTGACCTATCTGGGAACTTTTCAAAGCAAAGCATTCATTCTGCTTGGCTGTTCCTTACTCATGGTTGTTTATGGGTTCTTTAACCAACATAGTGACCCTCCAGTTTCATTTCTCTTCCTTAAGAGCACTTTCACAAAGGTTTTTTAGTGGGGAAAATGCAGTGTTCTTTCTGAAAACAGCCAAACGCTCTACTTACATACTTGCAATATTCTACCATAGCTCAGTGTCACCTATAGATGATATAGAGGAAAGCAGGAAAGTTAAAGCTCTTTATTTAGTCCTTTAAACTCAGTGACAAAACCAGATATAGGTATAACAGAGTAATCGTTTTGTGTAGAAAAGCTCAAAAACCTTTGAGACTCTGTTGCCAGTCAACACAGACAAGCTTGATGGACCAATGGGCTGATAGTAGAAAATACTTCCCTATATGCAGAAGTAGCAAAGTATTAGCTTTTTATTTTTTTTCTAGTAATTGGGCTGCTTTAAAACACTAATTATCAAGGTTCCATATTATTAGGAAGAACCTTAGCAATTGAAAACCCATGTTGGATTCATTGAAGCTCAAATATAATACCCACATATATACTGTTGAGGGAAATACTTAAAAGGATACTGAATTGCTCTATATTGCAGAGTCAGCCATGCTTGGAAAATCATCTTACTCTCTGTCAGTCAGGTGGGTGGGTTTTTTCCTTCTTCTATGCAGAAATAATTCTGAACAGGGGTAAACTCTGTGACTTATAACTACAGACTGTTGGCTTGACTCTTTGTAGTCTTGATGACTGCATTTTACACAGCATTATGTGGTGTTGTAGCAAAGTGGTGAGAAACAGTGGGCTGTGCCAGTAGGTGATGTGCTGTATTGCATGGGATCATACATTTCAGAACTAACTTCTGCTAAATGCTTTATCTGTCCGTTCAACAATAGCAGGGTAATGCATGAAAAGAGATGCTATTTCAAATTGTCCATTGAACAACAAAACTGCAGGACTCTGAACCAAGTTAAAAAAACCCTCTAATGCTGAATTTGATTCCTTTCATATGGAATCCGCCTTGGCTGTGGCAAATGCCAGGCAGTAAGTCTGAAACCAGTCATGTATTTGCTAATATTCATCTGCTCATAACATAAAAGATACTAGGAAGTAGAACATTTGTTAAGCTTTCATTTCCAGGACATCTAGTTTGACAGATTGCAGTGAATGCCTCTAGCATTAAAGAGTATTTGCTCATGATCACAAGACAAACAATAGAAGTTGATGCTCAGCCACAAATAATTTGAAAAGCTGCCTTGTCTTGAAGTTACTTGATCCTGCTAATTGCTTTATTTGCTCCTTATGTAATTTTCTACAATCAAGAATTGTATTTTTGAGTCCACCATGTTTCACCTCTCATTAGAAAGCTAGGAATTAGACTTATCTTTCAGACTCATCAAAACATACTACGGTTTAAGTTGTGCCAGCTGTATTACGCAGAACATTTACAGTGAGATTAAGTCTGCAAGTTGAGCATTGGACAACGGTTCCTCAAGGGCATATATTGGCCTAATTTTTCCTTGAACCCATCTTGTACTGCTCCATAATAACTTTAGTGAGATCTAGTCCAAGATCAGAACAAGCAGGTAAAAGTGCAGTTAAGTCTGAAATTGAAATTAACTCAAAGAATTTCTCACTTCATTCCACAAATCTTACACTTAGAGAAAATCTGCTGTTTCAACCTGTAAACTGAAAATCCCATGGAAGAGTAGCTTTCATAACAGTATCTTTCCTCAAGATCTGGCTGCATAACTTTATTACCTCATTCTGCTTTCTTGCAGATAGGTACTTTCCATATGCTACTGCAATGTCCGTAAAAAAAAAATTCCTGTTTCAACACAGAGGTGTCAAAGCTCTAACATGGAACTAGTGGTATGGGTCTTCCCATGAAAAGGAAGGCCATATAACCCACAATGCACAATAGTTGGTACTAGAGTATAGGTCCTCTTCATTTTCCTCTATAGGTCTTATTTTCATCTATAGCACTTGCCCATGACTTGTTAAGTTTTGGTTCAACTGGCATCTTTCTCCTGTTCATGTAAGCTGGAAGCTTCATCATGTGAACCACTATCATCTATCCTTTTGAGTACCTTTTTTAAGTTTCATTGAAATAGTTTATTTGGTACAAACTCAGATAATGAATGTGTCTAGTACATCTAATACTACTGGCTAAGGAAATAAAATGTAGTAATGTACAGATCTTTTCAAAATATCTGGGTATGCTAATCATCAATGTTTGGAATGCCATTCTTTCATGGTGAACTGCTCTTGGACCTGTGATATCACACCTGAAGAAATAACTTTCAGTAGGGCTCCAGCATTTTGTCAACAGATCGTATCCGGTAGTGGTAGCTTCTTTAGCATTTTTGATGAGGATATTTTTATAGTCTGCCCCTGCACATGTTGTTGTGGCTTTTGTGGCAGGAACATTGGATGCAACTTGCATGATGTCTGATGAAACGGCATCTTCACTTTGTCTGGGGTTACCAGCTACCTTCTGATTTTTAAAGTAAATAGCTATAGCTAACCAAACAAAAACAGCTCTTTCCTTCCTTTCTCTGGCAAACTAATATAGAAAGTTGCTATGACTTCCTTTCAATCTTCATCCAATCAAATCATAGCACTAAATTTGTGTCTTAAAAACAGGAATTTTGCTATCTATTTACCTAGATACTTGGCAGAACTTCTGGTTACTTTTTCGTTTCTCTTCATGGCCACTAGGGCAGTCTTTAGTAGCATCCCATGCAGCTTACTCTGTTAACAAAGGCACTACAACTCCATTATTTATATAATTCTATTTCTAGGGTTTCCGAATCCTGTGAGATTTGCAAAAGCAAAACCATTAGATCTGAATAAGCAGTGTTCATTTGGGCTGCCTTCTGGCCCCAAAGAAGTGCACAATACAAGTCCAACAAGCTACTCAGATGTGATCTCACAAGCCACTGTAAAACTCTTGTTGACTAGCTGATGTACTTGCATCTGTGTATATTAAATACATTTAGTATTGTGGCTAATGCCCAGCCTTGCAGACACCCATGCCTATTACACATGAAGTAATAGTCCCTTTCACTTGAGCAAGGCAAATAGTTTGCCCAGCCAATTCAGTATCCAGAGGTTTGAATTAATAACTGAATTGCTAGTCCTTTGCTTTGAAATGGATGAGATCATGTGGACTGTGTTTTTAAGCCCTTCTTTCCCCTCATTTCTATACTTTATTCCAGGTTTTTTTTGGGGGGGGAGGGCGTTGAATGTCTTGCAGGAAAAGCTCTTGGAAATATATTGAAGTGAGCTAGAAAGTCAACAGGTGAGCATTTTCAGCAGTGTATTTTTCATGTAGCTATTAAAGACAAGCACAGACATTTGCACTAAACCAACTTCAAGCCCAATTAAGAAAGCTTTCTGCTACTGTACTATTCAGCAAGGAGACATGTAGTTTTAACTGAACGCAAGCTCTATAACAGAAATGGAAGATTCTACTAGGACTGACACCCTGAACACATAGGTCTAATGTTTACATTTGCTCATTATTCACATGGTACAAGTTGGACCATTTTTATTAGAAATGAGCATCATTGCCTTATCCTCAGTGACTTCATTTTTCTAATGCTGCAAAAGTATACTACTCATGCAATTAATCACAGTTCCCTCTGTCAAAGATACCAAAAGTTCTGAATGGTTTTGATCCCCTTTTTGGCAGAATATTATTGATCAGCTCACCTAGCTGTGACACCATCAAGATAGTTAAGTGCCAGGTTGGGCTTGTGAAATTCAAGAATCCGGCTCAAGAGATTTTTTTTTCCCAGGCTCCTAAGCAGCTAGGACTTCATAATTGGTGTCCTACTGTCAGCTCATATTTTCCTCAACACATGTGGCAAACATTTTGCACACTAGGATTTCCATGAAGACAATGCATAGCAAGGAGGAAGAACTAATTGACAAGGATGGCAATATTAATGTCTATTCTCACCCTTCAAGTAGCCCCCAGCAATAAAAGCTTAACAAAAGTGACAGACTTGTTTCTGTTTGTCATGCCCTCCACGAAGTTGTTCTAGAAATAACATCAATATATAAACACAAGACTCCGTAACATTCCTTTCTCAGAAACATAGTTATACATTTTGTATGACTAGAAGGTTCTATTTTGATATTTTGTATCCGACAGTAGTCCTTCAAAAATCCTTGTATGTAAATGACATTAAATACAGGAATGTGAAAATGTGGTTGGCATACCAAGCAGTGCTTATTTCTATACACCACAAATACTAAGATGAACATATAGAAACACTTAAGTGTTAATTGGCTGCTTCATTAGGGATGGGTGATGTCATTACTGTCATTATAGCAACTTGAAAAGCGCCCAGCTGCAGTACTGTAAAGAAATGTAAGTACTTTCTATTTTTGTGAAACATTTAATTAAGCAGAGGCTTTAATTATATATCACTGCATTATAGTGAGCATGCATACCTGATTGACTAGATATTTGAGTGAAGTATTCAGAATATATGTTTGTAAATATCATGTGCGTTGGTAGATTAAAAACATACACATTCAAAATATTTTGTGTTCCCATACATAACCAAGCTTTGTAACAGCACCCACACTGGAATGTTACAATTCAGCCATAAGCCTTCCTTTTTATTTCTATGCATTGTTTAGATGCAAAAAGACACCATATTTGGCATACAATGTACTGAAACACAATGGAAGAAAGATCAAGTTTCACCATCATTCTGTGTTAAATAACCTATTAATATTTAACTATTTTGTACAAACAATATTTTACATTAACAAATACATTTCTCATTGCAAAGCTTCAAACCCAAAACCAAAATTCTTCAAATGGTTTTAGGTTCTATAATTAGAAAATAAACATGTAGAACTAAGAAGTTATCCCCAAATCTAGCACCCAAAATAGCAACATCCCACAAATTCAAGGGTCTGGTTGTACTGAGTAACAACAGCTCTCCACAGAATTCTGTCTAGATTGCTGAACCCTTAGTACATTGGAGTACTAAGACCATCAGGGAGTTTCAAAGGTCTATATAGGTTAATTTCCTCCATGTGACCACAAGCCCAACGGGAGACCTTAACAAGCTGGAGATGAAGGTATGTATTCCTCATGCAAACATATTATAGCATGGTGGGTACTTACAGTCCCGGCAACATCCATCAGACGTGGCTGGAATGGCTTATGATGAGAGCTATAGTTCAGCAACTCTGGAGAGCCACAGCTCACCCATCTCCAATTTATAATGAAATTGACCAGTACAACTTTACAAAAATTAACATGGCTTTTCAAGCTCAAGTGCACAAATGATAAGTGTAACTCTTTAGTCTCATCTACTTGCTTTCAGTATTACAGAGACTGAGTCTGGATGACATACCATGGATTGCCACGAGTTATTTAACCTGAGTACGAATTGCATATACAACCCACACTCACACAACAGTCCACAGGTTATGCTGGGGCTGTTGAACCCTCTGATAACCCATACTCACCTGGGATGTATCCTGCATGTGCTGAACCTTCACAATGGGCTACATAATTAATGCTGGGTTGATGAGTCATGTCAGCAGCTACAGAGACTCACTTTAAGTCCTTTTACTCATCAAACTATTATTAATAGGTGTGGACATTAAGCTTTTGAATGAGTGTTAATGTTATTTAAGTTTGCCTATAGTACATGAAAGATCCAATTTATTCACACAACTACTCACCATGTTAAAACCAACCCGGAAGCAAAAGTGTGTGTAATTCTCCACATATGCCTATGCATTTTTAAACTAGTCTAAACAAAACAAAATGTATGTTTGATACATTTCACTTAGCAGCCACTGTTCAGTTTCAGAACTCTTGCTAAAATAATGTTGCTTTAGCAGTCTTTCTTACCAAAACCAACAAGTACATACTGTTCTTAAAACTTTTTACATATGCACATATTTGTGAACATACCCCAATTAAAACCTTGTGGGAATAATAAATCTGGACAAAGCTATTTGGGCACTGCCAAAAAAACCATGGGAAAAATGCAAATGGAGTTTTCAAAAGCACTCACAAACCACAATCTTGATGCAGAGATCATGCTAACATAAAAGTTGCATATTATTTCTTCTATAAAGATCAAGTTATAATAGTTTCATGAAATAAAATATGAATTCCGAAAGTGAAAAACAAGAACAATGCCACTTCAACCGTAAATGCAAGTGATGTTCTGAGAGTTCAATTTGAAGCAGGCTTATGCTTATGTTAAAGTGGAACACCAGATAGTTCTCAGAGTCTGTTTCTATTGCACTTCTTTTCCTCACTTTATTTGTATGCAGTTCTATGCATTAGCAGTCAATTGAATGCAGAGCTTCGTTTATCTAGCAGTGAAGGTTATCTTGCACCAGAATGCAATGTCAGCATAACTCTGAAATGAAATGCAATCCTTTATGTCAACAGAATGACGATACTGAAGAAATTCCATTTGTGATATTAGAATGATATGTTTCAATATTTCTCTTGATCCTGCAATAGTGCAGTACAGCAGTAGTCATGGAGTATATACAATTGATTATATCTATATTAATGGCTTCAGTAGATGGCACGTGGATTCTTTGTGCTGTAGTAGGCCTCACAGGCAGCTACATATGCTGACTCTGGGAAGAAGTCATCATGGTATTCTGCTAAAAACCTAAAGGAGCATAATATACATGATTAATTGCATTGTAATTTCTAAGTAGCACTTTAAAAAACGGACACAGAATATTACAGAGTTATTTACACTTATGATAATTGCACCATCAAGATTTTATAGCCTTATTTTAATCATTCATTGAAATACAATAAGATGAACCAGTAGAATGCAGAATTATATTTCAAATCAACAATGTTTAATTTGAAAGGGTAAGATTCATACCACTTGCCTAGGCAGCCAAGTTCTCTTTGAACTTGTTCAATGAAGTGATAACAGGAGACATGTGCCAGTATTGATAATGTTCTGAACTAATTTGGCTGCAATCTTATACACATTTAGGATTGCAGTTAGGTTCTGTTTCTGTCTCTTCTACTGAAGTACCATTCTTAAACTCAGCAGAAATAACTCAGTAGTTGACATCACTCATGCTTCTTAATTCCCAATAAAATAGTTTTTCTATACTACTTAAAATATTCTGCATGAGTTCTTAATTAAAAGTAGCCTCTTATTTATTTACTATAGCTAATATAAACCGGTACTATATTAACTGCATATTGGTACAGACTAGCGGTCAGATGCTATTATTGCAAGTCAAATTTCTGACTGAATGTTCTTCCTACAAATTGTGTGGCTGCAAACTATAATCACCTGTTATGCAAGTATGTGCCAGTTGGTAGAAGCATGAATCCTCTGTTGTTCCTTATGAACAAATTACTGATCTTGCATGAGAACTGAGAATGTTGGATTGCATGGAAAATAATATGCTAGATCTTAAGCAGTGCTGTATCAAGACTGGACTCTGAAGGATAATTTTGGATAGAATACAGCATTGACACAGAATAAGAAGCTCACATCCTGTTTGTACAGATTCCTTTTTTCCATATGATAGAGAAAAGGCAATCTCCCCTGTGATTTGCTGTATGGGTTGCACATGCATCACTCCACAGAATAGGGGCCTAGGTTGCTCTGGTGTACAAACCAGACCAATTTCTGTTAATGCCTCATCAAGACATTGAAGAGCACTTTACAAGTACTAAAACTTTTTAGGTGCAATCTTCCACTTTGTTCCTAGAGGCAGAATTAAATGGCTACACAGCACATACAGCTTCAAGAAAAACCATTTTAACACTGAAATACATCAGGTGCCCTTGAATGTTTAGGTTTGTAGCTTTTCATACATTCACATAATGTCATGTTACCTTAGGAACAATTCAAAGTGCTTTACTAATGCCTTCAGGTTTTTGTCAGAAAAGCTCATCTTTCCAAGTATCTCCGGAAGCTTTACTGTAAAAGAAAAGTAAAATTTAGCTTTATTAAGTTTGGTTGCTTTTTATGCTTCTAAATACAATAGTTCATATGAACACAGAATAATGCTTTAGCAATTTCTTCAAACTTCAAAAGATAAGACAAACTGGAATACTTGTGGTTCAATATGTAGCAGTTTGTGCTCAAAGTAATAGACCAATTCAATCTACTATGATTCCACCAGGAGTCAACTCATTATTGCAGTCAAGGCTGCATAATTTGATACATTGGTTAGATTACATCAACAAAGTGTTTCTGATTAATCTCACAGGAAAAAAACTGCTATTATTAAAAGTATCTAAACTGCAGGTGGTTAAGCACCATTTCTTCTTAATGTGCTTATGTCTAAAATGAAGCTCTTGAGCATTATCTAAAAATACCACTTGATTAAAAACTATTATTTTGCCTATATACACATTTAAAATCAATGTAAGTGAGCAATCATATGCATTAATAAATTGATTTGTTTGAACTAAGTGGCAGACCCTACTTAAGGCTAAATATTAAGTACATAGGGTTGAACTAATAATTGGCTCCATAGTGATCAAAATGCTTTTAGAATGCTGGAGTGAGTAGCTTGACTCAGTTCCCAAAGAACCTTCCTTTCCAATCTGAGGCTAAAACAGTGATTGTTTCCAGTGCAATAGCCATTACCCGTTCTGCTGCAAAGCAACTAAGCTGGCTTAGATACCAGAGATTTGCTGCTTAAAACAACAGTCACTCTATCCTGTCCTCCTTTGCTCATCAAAGAAATTCAAAGGACTGAATTAGCAGCACTTCTCATAATAGCATTTATTTTTTGTACTGTATGCCTTAAACATGATCTGCAATAAAGTAATCCAACATTAATTACACTTCTATGCTCTCCACCAACTTGATTCAAGATATCTAGAATTTAACTAGAAAACCTGGATACTCACACCAATGACAGAGAATAAAGCAGACAGAATATATGTGAGCATGGGAAAACCTCTGAAAAGTAATTCAAGATTCCTTATAAATTAAAAAATACTTATTTGAAAGACTGCATTCCTATCTATGCTCACTTAGGGGTTAAGCCCAATTGAGCAAAATGAGCTTTACTTCCAAACAGCTATGCATCAAACCTGTCAAATGAATTAAGTTTAAAATAATGTCAAATGTTCAAAAATGAAATTGTACTTTACCAAACATGCGTAACAAATGCTGAGATCCATAAATGTATGAAGGTGGTGGTGGCTGATCACCTGGGGGATAGTTCTCTGGCATAAGTTTCCATGACAAGACCTAAACATAAAATTGAAACAAAACATAAAAGAATACATAAAAGTATAATCAATAGAAAGATTTCCAGAGATCTCATGGTATAAAGTCATTTCAGGATTCTGGCATATTTTTAAACTGTTTTAATGGGAAAAAAAACAATCTTACTCAAATTTCTTTAAATTTTGAGCCAGAGGCATTTCTCATGCAACTCATTTTTAATTTTTAATGCTTTAAGTTAATCACAAAATGTATCATGTAATTTATTTAAAAGATTGAGAAGTTGCCTTCCCAAGGAAGCATACAATTTTTTTAAAATGACAAAGCAGTGATAACAAATAAGAAGAAATAATACTATATGTACAGTCTTAATTCCATTAATGGCAAGCATGGCAATTGTTTTGCACCTGCTTCAAGGCAATATGATCGGAACAGTTATCACAGTTCCATTGCTTTGTCAAGCAAGATGTCTGATGTTAACTTCAGAGCACTGGCAGGTCAGTAAAAGATGAAGATTTTTCAGGTAACCTAGGCCCAAATTAGTTAGGACTTTAAAGGCACATATAGGTGTCAAATGTTCTGAAAGTAAAATTTCTAGTAGTACTTGAGCAGCCACTATTTGTATTCATTGAATACCTATTCCTACACTTCCTGAAAATAAATATGAACATGTCACAGAATTGTTCACATCTCTGATTTTACTTTCTGGAATATATGATCCACAACAATATGTTCTGCTTCATCATGGCTTAGTTGTTATCATGGGGTTGTATAGTACCATAGGCACAACTAAATACTCCCTAAAATTTGCATGCAATTCAACAGAGTATGTCATCAGTCCCTCCTAATATTTGCTGGATTGTGTCCTCACAATTTTGTGGTCAAGTTTAGAAATAAAGTAGTTTTTGAAAAATATTTATATTGATGAAAAGTGTGTTCATATGGAATATTTAAGGGAGGTAGAACTATTATTGGAAGGTAAAGAAAACAAGCAATAGTTTTCTTAGTTGGAGATATTTGATAGCTTTCTATCAAACTGCGTAGCTAGGCAATTATCCAAAAAACTGCTTAAGCTCACATAAGATGTTTTGCTGAAGCCCAGGGGAATATCTGATTTTCCTCAAAATCTTACCTCTCAAAAGGTTTTTGATATTCTCTTCAGTTGCACACAGTAGCAGTGTGCCGTGAAGCACTAGGGGTGGGAGGGGGGAGGGCTGCTGTTATTTCCATCCAAGTTCAATAAAACGGTTCACAGAATTAAATGTCACAGTTCTTTAGATCCAAGCTTTTAAATTATATGAGTGTACCTCATTTAATTCATTGTTTCTTCTGCCTTCAAAACCAGCAAATACTGCACTGCCCTCTTTGCTAGGAGTCAATGTAATGGGTGATGATGACCCACTGTGGACAGGAGTTTCTTCAAAAGAAAAACACAGTATTATTTTATACACTGGGAGATGAACTCCCTGTTCAGCTATGAGAGAGTTCCTCCAGCTGTAAACAAGTTCCTAAGAATTTATTTTAGTCATTACTCTTCGGGGAGACCTTGAAAATTGACAAGAAACTCTGAATTTGGCTGTGTTATCTCCCAGGTCACATAGTGGAAAACATGGTGAAAAAATTGCATCCAGGAACCAAACAAGTGGTAAGGAAGATACCACTTTTAAATGAGCATGATGCAGCTCAGCAAAGACCCATACTAGGAACACACAGTAGCTTGCATAAGTATTCACCTCATTTTGATTTTCCCACGTTTAGAACCCAGAACTGAAAATGCTTTAGTTGGCAATGATACCAGTTGATGCACAAGATAAGCAACACTGTGAAGGTGCTAAATAGCCTTATTGTGGCATAAAGGTTAACAAACTGGTGTTTGTTGATTGTATAAGTTTTAAACCCCCCTCCCCCACCCAGAATAAACTCTGGTGCAACCCATTGCTTCCAGAAGTCACTATAAGTAACTAAATAGTGTCCACCTATTTGCATTTCCAGTACCATTTGATCTCAGATTAAAGAAGCCTGAGAAGGCCCCAGTGTTTGTCAGGGAGCATATCTAAACAGAGAGCATTATGAAGTCCAAGAAGCTATCAAAGCAACTCTGGGATAGAGTTGCACAGCAGTACCAAACAAAAACAAAATGATGAACTAGAGAACCACATTTAATTGCAGAGCTAGAGTACCATGTGCAATTATTGTAATGCATTATTATAAAAAGGAACAAACATGGTGCAACCAGAAGGCAAACTGAGTGACTGGGTAAAAAGATAACATTAGTCAGAAAAGCAACAAAGAGGTCAATGGTAACTATGAAGGGGCTGGAGAGAGGCACAACTGTGTTGGGAGAAACCATTCACAGGATAACTATAGTCTCAATGTTCTACAGAGCCTTTATGTAACAAGAAGAAAGCTACTGCTAAAATAAACCCATATCACAGTCTTTTTGAAGTTTGTAAAAAGGCATGTGGGGAAGCACAGAAAACATACAGAAAGGGGTTCTCTGGTCTGAAGGAGACCAAAACTTCTGGTTTTGCTGTAAAGCAGCACGTGTAGCATAAAGCCACCTGCTGTTGGAAAAACAGAACTTGGGGAAAATATTTCACAATTAGATTAGTTATCAATAATAACAGTACTGTGGATACTTTAAGGACAACATATGACAATATAACTTAACTATGGCAATATAGCCTAGAGAGAGTCTCTATCTTGCCACAACTACCTACTCTTTTCAAGATGCAAAAATAGTTTTGGCATTGAAGTAGGAGCCTCAATGTTCCGTCGTTTGGGTTGGGGAGAAGCGCTGCTTTCTGATAATCTGTCACAATTAGATGTATGCCGTGTAGAACGCCTTAGAGACTGCAATATTTCAGGTTCAGTTTTTCGCCGTTTAGGTGTTGCAGGTTCTCCTGTCACAGTCTGACTATCTGTGGATTGTGGAGTTGATGGATTCAGAAGGGGCGGACTTGGGGAAAGTTCTTCTTGATTTCTGCCCAAAAAGAAAATAAAGCATAACAGGATGATGAACAGTAACTAAGTTGAAAATGAATTAAGGAGAAAAAACCAATCAGTTTCATATTTATTAACATACCTTCAATCTACTTGGTTTTAGTCTATTTTGCAATCATACATAACAGCTTAAGACTAAAATTATTACAGTTTTCTTAAAACATATTTAAAATATTAAGAGAACACGTATCAAACCCACCTGTTAGAGTTTGCCACACTTTCTTTGATTGGGAGGAAAAATTTGGAGGAAGTCACCTTCTTAAACTGTGCTTGTTCATAGGGATACAGCAGAATAAGTGGTAGAGTGAAGTCAAAAGTTATCCTTAGCCCATCTACCATTTCTTTACATAATTCAACACTAAAAAATAAGATTGCAAAATGAATGGAAAAATATTTTCTATAATTAACAAGTTAGTTGTCTATTGTATAAGGTAGATGGAGAGCTAAACAAACATTTTAAGTGAATGTACAAAGAAAATGCACAGCTTTTAACACAAAAGACTAAATGTTTGTAGAAGTTGCACTTCCTAAAATACTAAGAAGGATACTAGTATAAATAGATCTTGCTATCCGGCTAAAATTTATAATCACCCAAATTTATCCACAAAGGAGGGCAGAGGAATCAAATAAGGCTTAGGAGTGCATATAGTGTCTCTGAAGCCTCCTCCACCCATCTCAGAGAAAGGCTGGAATGTGTGTTGTACCGTGTTCCCCAGAGTATCTCAACAGCAAAGTATGAAATGGGCAAACCACAGCCTTCCCTGACCCAAGTGTAAAGCTCAAGACCTATGCACCTATTTTATCTGTTTACCTATTTATATGTCTTATCTATTTTATCTGATTAATTGCTTTATTGTATTCTACCTATGTTTTTATGCTGGTTTAGCATTTGTAAGCAGCTCAGAGAACCTTTGGATTATGAAGTGGCGATGAAATAAACAACACTCAAGCTGTAGCACATTGGAAGGGCTACAGACAACTTAGCAATACAGTGCCAACCCCACTGTTCACAGAAGGAAGACAGATACTCATTGTGGTAAGTAAAGATGCTGAGTCTGGTACATAAGTCCATCAGCTAAAAAGTTTGAAAGTCAAGTGTTTCTACCCTCCAAAGCAATGAACAGATGAAAACTATGAAACAATGAAAACAGAGAGGCATAGTCTGCAACTCCTCAACCACTGGCTGAGCTGTAGAAGAAAGAGGCAGACCACTGAAAATCAGAGACATGAGAAATCCATCTCTCCAAACCAAAAGTAGTCAATACCCATGATGACTGCCAATATAATTGAGAATACAAGGGAGCCATAATAGAGTGATATCATGGATGAACTAACAATCAGGACAAAGATTTGCACAATATTCATTCGCAGGTGAAAATATTCTATAGAAATGGTATGTGATGGTGACAAGGTCAACAGTAGAAATGCTGGGGAACCAGGGAAGCTTGAGCACTGGGAAGACAAAGCAGGGTTGGAAGTGGGGGGATTCATAGGTTGTTGGGAGATATTATTGATCACTGGCAAGTGGTCAGCCAAGCAAACAGTCAAATTAGAAGATATCAGAAAAAATCAACTTCAGTTGAGAGTTTGGGGTAACAGCATTTGAACAAACACATAACCGTACACAAATTTGCACTGGCTCAATTATTCACCATGACTGCAGATTATATTAGGAAACATTTCAGAATACGAAACCTTATTTATTTAAAACATTTCTATCCCATCCTATATTCAGTCAGGATCTCTAGCCAGCTTACATAAAAAACAGAGATAGAAAAACCCACAACAAAGGTGATAGACAAAGACAGAAAAATTCACAACAACACACTTGAACTTCAATTGATAACCCATGAAGATAAGAAAGGGCTGGCATTATGTGATCTTGTCTGCCAGTCTTAATTAGCTGATCCATTCTGTACCAATTAAGTATCCAAACTGTTTTCAGGGATAGACCCATGTATAGCATGTTACAAAAGTCCAAGCAGCAGGATACCAGAACATGGATTACCAGCTGCTAGGCACTTGCCTGTCCAGGTAAGGACATCGCTGATGGATCAGCTGAAGCTGGTGAAAAGTGTTCCTTGCCACAGCAGACACCTGAGATTCCAAGGATGGGTCAAGGAACAATCCCAGGCTAGGCACCCTTTCCTTTAAGAGGAGTGCAACCCCATCCAGAACAGGGCAGATATCACTCACCTGGACAAAAGACCTATCAACAGATCCTCCATCTTAGCTGGATTAAGCCTCAATTTATTGGCTCTTATTCAGTCCATCACTCATCCAGGCACTGATTCAGAACCTTCAGTGCCTCACCTGGATTAGATGAGAAGGAGAGGGAGAGCTGGGTGTCATCAGCTTACTGATGACACCTTAGCCCAAACTTCTCCCAGTGGTTTCATATAGATGTTGACTGGCTTGGGGAGTAAAATAGAGAACCCCATGATACTGCATGGCATAACTGCTTTTGCTAGTGATTTATTTTACAAGAGAACCCTGCTTATGAGAAATCTTGCAAAGCTAGTTACTATTACCGTATTTAGAGAATATACAGTGGTACCTTGTCTCACAAACTGAATCCGTTCCACGACTCTGGTTGTGACCCAAACTGGTGACCCAAGCCAAATTTCCCCATAAGGTTCAATGTAAATAAGGTTAATTCATTCTGTAACTACTTTTTTATCAGAAAAAATTGAGACAAAGTAACAAAGTATTTACACTACAGTGGAGAACACTAACCTAGGTAGGAGGGAGATGGCCACAATCATGCTGGTTGGGGATGGGGGGGGGGGAGAGATGGCCGAGACTGCACCTGTCTTTCCTGCAGGAGCACACCCATGATCACGCACGACTTCCCTGCACAAATGCAACTGTGATTGTGGCCATCGCCTCACTGGGGGGGGGGGGGAGATGGCCACGATCTTGGTCACCACCTAATGCAGAGCTCGTGACCCAAGTCAAAATTTTCATGAAACTATTGTTCACGACCCGATTTGGTCATGAACCAAGGCATTCCTCAGCCAAGGTACCACTGTAGTTCAGTAGAAACAAAACTGTCCAAAACACATACCCTTCAAAAGACCAAAGTGAAAATTTGAATCTTCCAAGGTTCCCAGTTTTTTCAGTTTATCACATTTATACAAAAAAGCTTTCTGTGGCAAGTTATACAGAAAAAGTATTTCACTTGTGTATACTCAAAGTGTCTTCTGTGGGAAGATAGCTTTTGGATAACTTGTACTCAGGTACATAAAATGTGAGTTCAATTTTTAAAGGCTATTAAAACTCCCTGCATTGAAAAACCAACTGACTTTTACTGTCCAAACAAGATCTGTTAATAAAGAAACTAATTAACTTACACCTTCCACAAGCCAAATAGTTCATAGTTCAAGTGAGAAAGGTAATTTTAATAGGAATTTTGACAGCATAAAAAGACTCTTACTACTGGATTATAAAGCAAAATGATTTGCTATAGTGATTGAGTTTTCACAATCACTTTAGCTCACCATGGTAACTAGTTTGAATATTCAAAATATATTCAAGATGACTACTAGCATGTGCTTTAACCCACTGAAGCCCCAGAGGGCTTTGGTGATCACATAAGATAGCCAACTCTGTTACTTAACCTTTCATTTTGTTCTTACAGAAAAAAGGATTATCTTCTCCTGTTAATAAATTGAAGATAGGAACCTTAGCCCTTAATAGTTACACACAAAACTAAAGTAATGTTAGCTTACTTCTTTTCCGGTGGAACATAGTGCAGATTCAGGTTGGTGTGTGAAGTCATTTGATGGTGACGTGATCTTTCATTGGCTGAAAAAGCTGCATTGATGGCAAAATGCTTCACATATGATTCCAAGATGGTTATTATATTTGTCTGACATGGCAGTTTCACCAGCTGGATGAAAGAATCAATCAGGTGTCAAATAGAAGAAATTTATGTAGCCAAAAATAGGGTAATGGCATATAAGCTTTCTGTTTTGCACCATCATGCACTTTGTGTGTATGCCGACAAGGGTGATTTTTTTAAAGCTGGAATACATTCAACTTCATTTAAAGGGGAAAGCAGGCACAGGAATGTAACAGCTTCTTTACTGTTCACAAACTCATTTTACTTTGGACTAAATGGCTGTACTTTGCAAGTCAGGTTCAGAAAACGTTTAGTGGGATCTCACCTAAACTGGGACAGAAAGTGACATATTCTAAACATATCATTTTACATTCAAACCCAGAAAAGATGAAATACATCATTTTACACTCAGTCAGAAGGAAAGGTGCATGGCACTGGGACTAAACATGTGACAATGTACATCTGTGTCATATAGGCAATAGAGTAGCTGTCAAATTCTAATGTCTCTGCTTACAGTTACTTACTGGACATAATTTGGTAAGCGATACATTAATTTTTACTAATGTCAACAGGTCTCACTTAAGTGTGCTCAAATCTATCATCTTAGAAACATAAAAACAGAGCGAGTCAGAAGGGGTCTCCCAGGCTATCTAGTCTGACTCCCAGCTTCAGGAGTCAGACTAGATGTCTCCGCTCACGACATGCCCACCATGTACATGGTGGACATACTTCCTGGCATCTAAATTGAACCTTGGTTCCCTTAACTCATTAAAGGTTCAATTCTACACATGATTACAGAGAAACAAAACCCTATTATCTTGTACATACATGAATTTAGCATAAAGATTTTCAACCATCCTCATTTGTGTAACTTAGTCATACCCGCTTTCGCCGGTTAATATAGTAACAATCTTCTTCAAGTTTCTTCTTCAGGATTTCAGGTATTTCAATGTTTATTGCTCTTTCTTCCATGTCCCTTTTAGTATGAGTTTCTTGCTCTTCTTTCTGTAGGAATATGCATATGATTTTAAATTCTTTTCATATATCTGGGAAACATTAAACAGAGGAAAATCAGCAATCATGCAAAGTATGGCAATGTTATGCGTTATTGGCAACAAGTGCATATTAATATGGTGGCCAGAAAAACTCTGTAGTACTTACTAGGCTGTAAACCCCCCCAAGGAGTCAGCTGGTAGAGAAATTGAATTAACTGAATAGTATTAATTTCCTCAAGATCTGCAGATCTTCATCATACAATTTTTCAAAAGACAAATGTTATTGCCACCTTTTGTACCTAAAGGTGATAGGTGCTTATGAAGTGTTCTGACATTTCATTTATTGGAAAGATCAAGATAGTTTATATGGATGTACCATTTCTATCTTCTCATCACAATCACTTTCTTCACTCTTTATTTCTTCATCTGTGCTGTCCTCATTGTCATCAGAGGAAGAACTACTTATAGCTGTAAAGAAGCAAACAAGTTACCTTTGACACTTAACTGCTACTCACTTCATTTGACAAAGGACATATGATCAAGAGCAGATTTGTGTACACGGTTTGAAAAAGGTTCTAGCTCAGCAGCCCTCAAACTTTTTCAATAGGGGGCCAATTGAAAGGCTGCAGTGACCTTCGCAGGCCGGTGAGGTGGGGGTGCCTGGGGGCATGAGGTGGCATCGGGCACACGTGTGTGGTGGTGGCTCACTTGCTCGGAGATCTCCCAGCAAGTCCAAAACCATCTCCGAGCAAGGAAGCCACTGCCTCCCTGCCCACGCAGCAAGCGCATGCGGTGAACAGTGGCACGGCCTGGATGGATGGCCATGGCGGGCCGGTTCCATCCTGTGGGCTGAGGACCCATGTTCTAGGTTCCAGAACAAGGAAAATAACTTGTAGCAGAATTTCCCAATTGCCATTTGTCACACAAACACCTACATCTTTAATGGCAGTTTTTAATACTATGGTTCTGTCCCTATTTGAATACACTCACTTCAAGAACTTGAATTCATAAATACTGCAGAACTTCTTAAATGAGTCACTTCATTTCAAAACATATCCATAAAACTGGCATAAAAAACAAGAATTCACAACCCAGTTCAATGTATAGTTCAAAACTTTCTGTAAACAAACTTACAAGTGATGCATCATTAAATAGTAGAAATTGGAAGATTAGAAACAGAATAGATTCCTATCCAATGCATTTGCTCACAAGCATACATTCTAATTTCTCTACTCTGCATCTCTTGTTGTTTGTATCATTATTTACTTTAAACTGTAAGCATTTTGGAAACAGGTACCTATCATTTTTTAATGAATTACATAAATTCATATTTAAACAGAAGAAAATTCACAAGCATATCAAACTTACAGTTTTCACTGCTCTTTTCATTCTCTTCAGGTGGAAGTATCTTCAATACAGAATCAACACCAGGCAATCTGCGACGCCCTTTTTTTCCTTTTCTTTTCCTAATGGAAATTTAAGAAAGCATATCATTCTATTTTGTGACTTTTATTTAAAGACAATAAACCACATATTGAGTAAAAATAGCACATGAAAAGAAAGCAGTATTATTTTTACAATAGTTTCTCTTGCAAGAGCACAGGGTAAAGCAAAGATAAGCCTGTAACCATACTTCTTTACCAGTGGTGTTCAAGAGCCTCTTTAATTTTTAGAACTCTAATGGACTTCCATCCATTAGTCAAACATGCAAACTGAGTTATTTACTATTCTAAGGTGCTAGGAAAACTAGATACGTACACAGAAAACTGGGGAAATGATTTGCGAGTACAAAGTAAGTAACTGTTTTTCTTTCAGCAGGAATATGTTTAAGAGAAATACTAGAGCCACAACACAACCATGGCTTAAAACTAACTTCATTTATTAAATGCCTGGTAAGTATATTTGATTCTTACATGCGAGCCACAGCTTTTCTTGCCAATTTACGCTGTAATCTGCGATTTTCATCAGTGTCACGAAGAACATGATCTTCAGCTGCCCATCTGTCCCAGCTGAGTACATGAGGAGGAAAAAATAAGGAATGACAAAAGATCAAAAATAAAGCAATATACTGTAAACTTAAGGTAGAGTAAGAAATAAGGCTTTGAAGGCTAATACATAGAATTTCAAAGCCCATGATCAAAACAAACATCCATAAACTAATTCTGGAGCAGTGTGCCAATATGGCTTTCTGGGAGTAGTGTCTTTTGTGGTGCCTATTCTGTTTCTTAGTACAGCACCAAAACAAATTCCATAGTTTAGGATGGGAGGGAGGTTGGTTGCTTTGACTTCTAGACCTCTAGGGGACTTTCAATCTATATGAATGCCAATTTCATGTACTTTTTACCTTGCATATCATCAACCTCTACCCAATAGTCTTACTATCTTGGGCACGCTATTGAAGATCCTAGGTTTATTGCCTAATGGGCCTCAACATTTTATTATGGGTATGCTTATGAAGACTTAGGATTTCCTGATTACCGTCACAGTTACTGTATTATGTCCAGGTTGAGACATCACAGCCTAATTGAGGCTTAATATTCAAAAAGTACTCAAAATAGGCTTGCTACACTCTAAATTACCCATAATTTTCCTACCGTTATATGTGAACCAGGTCATTGGGATAATCTTCTGGTTGTTATCAGCTCGATAGATTACTGCTCATACTTTGGACTTTACATTTTTAATTTGCTAGAAAGACTGTTGTGGTCGGACCACTCCTTGTTAACATTTAAACTGTGGGGTTGATGGACCTATTGAAATGGCATAACCCTAGAAGCTAATGAAATCTGATGGATTCCTGAAGCCCTTAGAAAGTTTGTCTGGCATTCTTGTTCAAGTCCTAGTAATTCTGTGAGACAGAGAAAAGACTCAGGCCATTGACATCAATGCTCCTATAAAAGTTCTCCAAACTGCCTTTTCAGTGCACATAGCATTACAAAGGAAGTAGAGAGCTAACTAGAAAATGGGACAGGAAATTCAATGAGAATGCAACTAAACACAAGCAAGAACTCACTGTTGACCCTATTTAATAGAAGCAATGGCAGCAAAGATACAGTACTGTGATGCCACAACTGAGGGTTTTTTTAAAAAAAACTCAACTAAACAACATTCTAAGTACTTCAGGGCTCTTTACAGCTTAACCTACAAAGGAGAAAGAAAGGGCTGTTGGAAGGCCGCATCAGAACAAAGTGGTCATGGCTGTGGAGGAGGGAGGGACTGGCCATCCCTATGCTCTTAAGTCAAGAATCTGGTGGCAGCAATTCCTCAATTTTGCTAACCAGGTCTATATGACTCACCTCATCTTCTAACTGATCACTGACAGGGAAAGCAGACACAGGGAACCAGCTAAACACTCCAGCATGCACCATGCACTTTCATGCATGCTGCTCATGCAATGCTGCTGTATTTGAGTAGGCAGCAGCCAGACAATGGTGTGTGAGTAATGGCATGGTATTGGAGAACCTAGTTGTCTGTCACCTGTGCTCCTAAAGTAGTATCTTTTTATATAAGCAGCCATGATGCAAGATTCAACTGCCAGTCAGGTTGGCTGCTCTACATAGAAAGGAAGAATCATCCCAGGCATCAAATGGTCTTGTACCTACCCTGTTCAGAGGCATGCACTGATATATTTGCTAAACATTTAACAGATTACAATAACTCATAAGTGCCTCAATTTAGAGGTAACAAATGTTGTAGTATAGTCCAGCATGGTGTCTAGAGCTCTGCATATTTGTTTCCATGAAGTGCTGCTGAGTGACTTTTGCTTGAATCTGAGATTTGTGCTCTGAGTCAACTAAAGCAGTGGAAGGTCAATCTGTGCCTGACCTCAATAATAAACTGAATGAAGGCCAATAAGCTTAATGCAGGGAAGGTTACTCCATTGGTTACTGGTTTTGTGTAGAAGCACAATTTGAAGTGCTGTTTACCCTCATAGCCATGCAGAGCTTGAGACCAGGGTACCTGAAAGAACATGTCTCCATATCAGCTTGCCCATGCACTGAGATCATCACTGGAAGCCCTTCTCCATGTAGCCTTCTCCAAGCTGCGGAAGAGAGCCTTCTCAGTGATAGCGCCGCTGTTTATGGATTATTTTTCCTCAATGGCACTTCTACTATGGTAGCTTTTCAGAGCTAGGTGGTAAGTCTTATTAGCTTCCCAGGCTACTTAGCTATCAAACTCTGCTCTTGTGGCTGTTTTTATTTTCCTTATTATTTTTATATTTATCTCATATTTCACTGTGTAAGACAAGTTGAAAATAAACATTTTTAAAATGCATATTTACAATTTTGTATTAGATTTATATTCTTATGTCTTCCTTACTAAGATCAGTAAATTTTTATCCTGTAGATGTTCTCTAATGCTTGTAATATCCTAGTAGCTAACATGTGCCAGAAGTTAACCAGGCAAGGTGAAAGGAACTAAGCTTGTAGAATTATCTTATTGGCCAACAGCATCCCCCTCCCCCCCCCAAAAAAAAAGGCAAAGAAAGCCAGCAGAAGCACTTGTCTAAAGTGGCATATATCCACGGCAGGTAGCGGGCTTGACAAAGACTCTCAACAGTTAACTTAATGGGAATAAGCAGAAAACACATTGAAAAGGCATCTCTTTATGACAAAATGATGCTTCGTGAATCATTCATATATTCAGGAATACCGGTGCACATCTAATGAGGAAGCACGGGAAAGGCTAGCTGGGGTTTAGTTAATATTGTTTGTTTAAAAGCATTTGATATCAAAGTTAAGCATCCAAATTAGTTAGATCATGCTAACATTTCTGCATTAATATCAATTGTCCAATTAGGGTGTCACAAATTATTGAATGAAATAGTTGAGTCCACAGCCCTAGGATTTCACAGAAGGAGGTCCACACAATTTAATCCTGGGCATCTTTACTTAGGAATCAGCTCTATTTTGGCAGCATTTACTCTAAAGTAGGTATGCTTAAAACATCTACCTTTATGTCATGTAATGGTCAATACAGGTGCATACTAGATATATGGCATTTTCAGAGTATTTTCATAAATTAGAGGAATATCTAAAAACAAACATGTAAGATACTACAGGAGTTCTTACCTTCTGTTCCAACCATTAAAATGGATCAGATATTCTGGAATCTTTCTTCCTTTCTCATCCTTTCCAATAACAATGTCAACAATCTGAAATAAGATCAGTTACATATGAATAGGTAAACATTACTTTTGCCAAAGTATTCAAGTTATCGGCCTATTACATTATAACAATATATTGTCTTCTAACCCAGAAGCTTAGGAATAGATGTCTTAAATTTTAATTTCCAACCAAGTTAACTTCCAAATTGTTTAGTCTTGAGACAAACAGGAACAACATATTAAGAACTAACAGTATTCCTGTTTCAGAAAGGCATTAGGCATGCACACAGGTGGTGCCACTCTTTCAAAAGTATAAGATTACATTGCCAATGATAGAACAGAACTCAGCTGATCCCTGACATTCATTTCATCAATACTCTAGAGGACCAAAAGTAGGCAGTGTGGAAGCAAAACAAGGTACTGTATAATTAGTGGCTGCCTTTTAAAAATAGGCATTTGTTTTGAGAATGGATTATTATTACTTGTCACAAGTCTCTGAAGAATGGATTTTAATTTGCATGCCACAATTAAAATTAGAAATGCTGCTCAATTTCCTTAGATACTTTTTACATGTTGCCTGGAAAATGAAGTACGTAGTGTTGATTCAGACATATATACTATTATCAGCTTTTCCAAGCTATTTGATTAGAGTAAGCTTGCAATCCTAAACTCATTTTCAACTTTCAAATAAGCCATAGCCATTTTGAAAACAATGAGATGAGGATATAGCATACACACTATTTTCAGCATTAAGCTGCAGTCATGCAAGCAATGAGATAACACCTTTTCAAAGTAGCCTGCTTAGTTTTACAACATGTTTAAAATTACAGGTGTGGGTTTGCAACTACATTTGCAAATCCACACCTCAGACTCCAAAACTCAGCACAAATTGGAAAGGCTTTCAGAAGCTAGTTCTATGATGGCAAAAGGCCTTCCAAATGTATCCCACAGTCCAGTTTAGCAGAGTATACCTTACATATTTTCAGTTATAAAAACATAAAGCTTATAAAATGTACACATGCCTGTCCTTGAGAAACAAAAACAACAAAAAACAGGATTCTTTTCATGAACTATACACAGATAAGTAGTCCAGGCCATTATCGGGACTACTTTATACATATATTCAAACTTTTCAATGTGTGCTCATATACACCCCCCCCCAAATGCCTATATTTGAATTTGGATGGAACAAATCTACCAACTAAAATGCTGGCAATATGTATTATCCAACATTTGCATGATTTGTCTTTAAAAAAAAAAAAAACCTCAATGCATTTCCAATATTACACAATGCTACAAGCAGGCATTTGTATTTTTCTGCATATACACCCAAGTAAGCCAATTATACTTTGCAGTATATTTGCATTTAATAGATTGCATGAATACGTAAACTAAATATAGGCTGTATTCTACTTTATAAAAGTGATTTCCACTTTGGGAGGGACCTTATGAATAAATTATTCTAAATAAATGGGCACAAAATTGTGAGATTAATAATGTGTCACATGTCCAACCCAAACTTTCTCCCACTGAAAATGGAATGGTCTCTCTTTCATTGCATTGAAAAGTCCTCAACAGAATCAGCAAGCAAGAGATTGGTATTTGCAGCCAACCAGAAAAATCAGGAGCTTGGCCTCTCCTGTTTAAACAGAACTAGATTAGGAAGTGATACTGATAATATTAGCGAGTACAATGATGGATACTAGTGTTAACCTATTCGTGTGCATTAAACAAGTTGCCTGTATTGTCTTATCGAGAACTCTTATCAGAGTTTTGAATGAGACCAAAACAACCCCAAGGATATGGGTAAAATTCCCCTCAGCACTTGGAAAGGCTCAGAGGGCCAGCTTTCCATGTGGTTACCCATACACCCTATTATTGGTGCTACTAAAGGTCTATGTAATGCCCATAGCCACCATCACAGCCTAATGGCAACAGCTACAAGGACCTGGCGATTCTCCCAGGAATGCATCAAGCACGTGAAGATAGTCAGGAGAAGCAGTAAGTTTTTTATTTTGCTGCCGTTCACCCAATGCTCTCTCCCCCTGCCGCTACAGAGAATCTGGGAGCAGCTCCTGCCTCACAGCTTTTGGCATCAGTTCGGGAAACCGCTTCTACAATCCTCTCCTGCACCCAAGTAAGAGCGCTGGCTCTCCCGCTGGTCCCTAACTCCCGTCAAAGGGCTCGCTGTCCGTGCGGAGGGCTGGCAACCGAGGAGGGCCCACCTCCCGGCGGAACCCACACCAGGAAGCACCCGAAAGGAGGCCGCTTCCGCGACGAGGCGACCGTTGCAGGCGAGGGAGCGCGTGCCCGCCGCCCCTCGCGCGCCCGCCCCTCCCTGGCGGAGGAATCCCCACCTTGGCATCATAAAGCACCTTCGCCTTGGTCGGGTCCGGCTCGAAGCAGAGAACTCTCTCGCCTTTGTGGAATTTAAATTTCATTCCCCGCGAGGTCATTTGTTCATCATGGCGAAAGGAAGACAGCCACGCCCCAAAATGAGGGCGGGGAAGGACTGAGGGCGGCTCGCTCCGCCCCTGCCTTTTAATCAGTCCGCGAGGAAAAAGAAAACACGCGCGCACGAGAGGGGCGGGGTTTGCGGAGGATGCTGCTCGGCTTTTCGCACGGCGGTCCTGCTAGGCTTATTTACTCGAAAGTAAGTTGTACCGCAGGACTTCTTCGGTGTGTCTACAAGGGGTCTGTAGCCCTAAGTGTAGGATCTATTTTCCCCTATGCAAACGGCATAGCGTTTTACAACTGTTAGAGTGTTGTACTAGTGCTGGGGAGATTAAGCTGGTTGGGCATTATCTAAGCCGAGACCCCCGAGCTTTTTGGACTCACGGGCACATTAGGGAATGCCCCTGTGGACGCCCCCGAAAACTACCTGATTAGAGGATTGCTGTTTCGGAACCTGCCTGTGATGCTGATGCTGCTTAGGCAGTCTATACAGCAAAACATTCTTGTTTTGTGGCTACCGGTCACCACAATGTCTCCAATAAGGGAGTGTCTAGGTCAGCTATTTGCTAGTAGCACAATGCATCTAATGCTTTTCTGCATGAGCTTTGGCAAGATTCAGAAGCTGTATTTTTCTGGAGGAAGTTATTGACAAAAATGTTGTAGTTGGAAATGTCATTAATATTCACCCATAGTCATGTGCTTTTAAATTATATACCTGCTTCGTCAAAATTAACCAAATGGAAGGGAAATAGATTCTCTGTACCCTTGTGACAGCTAAAAAAAGATACTACAAGAGCAGAAGTCTAGAGTCATGCCAGGGAAGAAGTAGGTGGGGGTGCAGATGAACATACAGATGAGATTTTAGCTTTACTTTGTTTGTTTCTTTATTACATTTATATACCACCCCATAGCCCACAGAGCTCTGCCTAGTTCTTGTGCTAGAAAGAATTAACCCAGTGAGATTTCCTTCCACAAGTTTGTGCCTTTCAATAACCCAGCCTCACAGAAACTTATTCTAGAGTAAACACAGAAAAGCTCTAGCTCTGACTGTGCCAGACAGGAATTTGAGGTCAGACTGAAGAAGTGACTGCTAATGGAGGACTTGGAATCAGTGGACAGTTTGTAGAAGGACCTGGTTGGGGGGGTGGGGGGGGTGGGGGTAGGTGGCGTTAGGCTTTCATATGTTGACTGCCACTAGACTGAGAACCTGGAGGAATGTTGTCCATGGAGTTGCAAAGAGTCGGGCACAACTGTGCAATTGAACGTATAGTCCTGCTTGCACTTTTCAAGACTGAGAATAATCCTCTGTAAATGTAATGGGAGTTAGCCACCCTGAATAAAATACACACCTGCTCATGCAGCATTCATTTTACTTATGAGTAAAACATTTTTAAAGAACATATCAACACAATTGTCAGACATTAAGCCTCAACTAATGTAGGCTTTCTAAGCCGTTTTTTACTGGCACCTTTTATTATTATATAAATGTACTCCCTTGAACCCCTCCCCTACACTCCATTGTATTTAAAGAGCCTCTCCTTGCTTTTGTGAAGAGAGAAAAAATGGCTCCTTACTTGAATGTGGATACTACCTACTTAGGAGTTTTTGTTCTGCCTCTTCAGCTGCCAGCTGGTTTACCAACAAGTCTTTAGGGAGCTGTGATTCTTCTCTTATCATTCTTCCAGTGCAAGGTAGCTATGCTGCTGGAGTTATATGGGTACAGAAACAAAACTGGCCGTATTGTTACGCACAATAAGGAAGCAGCAGATTTTTTCTACAATTTCATGACACCTCAAAATGATGGGGTCAAGAAAGGACAACAGTTTCTTAGCTGCTTAATACAGGACTTCAGACATGTGGATGTGGTATTTTCTACCTAATGGGCTAACATAATGTAACCAGTCTTGGATATTATCTATCATCATGGGTAGGTAGATGCCATTTCCAAATGATTTTGGAACCTCTCTGTCTGAAAGGAGGGCCTAGGCACTTTACTGCTAGTACTGCTAGATTTATGTTTGTGAGCCGGCCCGAGGCTTCGGCGAATGGGGTGGCATAGAAGTTTCCTAAATAAATAAATACCATAGAGGTTGCTTTAAGCAGGAAAAGGTATTGACCTGATTTTGCTGTGTTGCATTTCTGTGCAGGTATTGAAAAGAGAGGCTGCATTCATACAACACGACAACCAATCCCACATGATTACTATGGTTCACAGTTTTTTTTACCATGGTCTGCCATGGTAGATGATCAAATGTTATCTACCTTACCATGGTTTCTGTTTTCCCTGCCCAGTCTTCCCAGTGTTGACATTCATCCCATCAGCCACTGTGCCTGAAATTCAGTCCCAAGGTTCGTTGCTCCCTGCCTATGTTGCCTGCCTCTTGTTCATTGTTCCACCCATAGAGGCTAGATAGCTGGAGCAGCTCCTGCATTTGGTACTCTTTCTAGAAGACTCTGTGGCAGTTGCATACCATGAGAGCCAGGGTGGTGTAGTGGTGAAGAGCATGGGACTGGGACTCAGGCGATCTGAGTTCTAGTCCCTGCTCAGCCATGGAGCCAACTGGGTGACTCTGGGCCAGTTGCAGACTCTTAGCCCAACCTACCTCACAGGGTTGTTGTTGTGGGGATAAGATGGAGGAGGAAATGTAAGCTGCCTTGAGCCCTTTGTAGTAAAAAGGCAGGATATAAATTGAAAAATAAATAAATGAATGAATGTGGAAACCACAATCCTGGGCTAAGACAGCATGACAAGCCATGGTAGTATAGCAAAACCATAGAACAAACAGTTGTTTCTTACTATGATTTCTAAAGACCAAACTTACTATGGTGAAATACCATACTTGGGTTCAGATGACATGACAGAATGCCCTTGCAAAAAACCACCATGGTTTGTTGTCTGAACTCAGCGAGAGAGTTCATCAGCATGTAGTGATCTATGGAGCCATTATCATGTGGCATCCACAGAGCCTGACTGGGTTGCTATCTTTACATAAATTTCTTTAGAATTGGTTTGAATAAATGCTAAATTCATCCTTGGTGGTTTATTAGATGGAGTATTTGCTCCATCTTCTCTTCAAAGAGTGGCCACATCTCATCAGCCTCCATGGCTGCGAAACAAACACACTGCTTTATCGGCTTGCATGCTCCCTTGGTTGTGTTCTCAGCTGGCCGTTGCTTCTTTATTTCACCCACTCTGCCGAGTCCCCATCTACTCATTAGAGTAGCATGGTGGTCCTGCAGTTGCAGCAGAGCAGTGACCAGGAGTGTAGTGCGCAGCTGCTGTCATGGTTGCTGCTGCTGGACATGATCCCTGTCCTCCTTCCCAGCGCATGCTGCCTGGTGCCTGCACTGCTGCCACATCTGCTACCTGGCTGATTATCTGCCTCAAAAGCTCCTGCTCCTTTTGCATGCCTCTTGTGAGGTTCCCATGTCCGTGCATGGCGCCCCTACCTGGTCACTGCCCTGCTGCACCTGCAGAGCCACCATGCTAATCTAACTCCCAGAGACATCAGCTGCTGCACAGTTGCCCATGGCAGTGCAATTTAGCCAGCCATTATTACCTCTTAATGCATCAACACTGACTAATAGCCTCTCTTCAGTACTGGGCAGCTGTCTTTCAGTGTCTTCATCTACCTCTTCTGTACATTCTCAGCCTCCTCACCAGGCTCACTTCCCATGCCATATGTGGAGCAAAATCCTCAAAGTTACCATCCTAATGCTTCCCAACATTACTATACATTAGGGTTGGGACAAACCCTTTTGGAATCCATCCCTCCAGAATCCACAGACTTCCTCTCATGCTCTGCCCAGTCCTGCAAAGAGCCTGCCCAAGGGGAAGTCCACAAATGCTTGGGGAGCCCCAGTTGCACAACCAGTGAGCTTCCCCAGCTGCCATTCCTAGTGACCAGCCTTCTTCCCATCTCACTGCTACCACCAGTGCATGTGGAAAAGGGACACAGCAGGTGTACCAACCACCTTTCCTGGCAGGCAGTCTTTCCTGCTTGCTGCTGGTGGTACAATGGCAGACATGGAAGAACGGTGTTACTTGCCACAGTGCATGGGGCTTGATTCCTCGTGAGCGCCCCATGGACCCTGGATGCATCTGTCAGGAGCTCATATGCGGAGCCCCTGCAGAACAGACCAAAACCAGGGAATCCAGTGGCTTTTCCTCCCAAAATGGATTATGTGCACATCCCTACTATGCATAAACAGTCCTGGGTGAAACCTGAAACTCTCCTAACCATATCTAGAGAGACAGACAGAGACAGAGCGAGATTCTCAATAGGGTTTAAGAAGAGGATTGCTATTTCCTTTTCAAACACTGTACACTGTGCTCCATAATAATCCAAGCATTTCAGATGAAGACAGAGCCCTACTCTGCTCCTCAGAGGAAATAAAATTAGACTCAAAGAAGCACATAAACTTCTCAAATGCTACCTGTCACCACATATTGCAATCTATATGGCATTCATGACACATACCAATAGTGGTTATGTGAAAAAGCAGTAACTTTCTCTGACAATCTCCCAAATGGCTGTCAAATGGAAGGACTTGCTAAATTTTCTCACTCCAACAGAACAAGACCTGAATTCCCCTAGACTACCCAGCATATTGGACTTTCCTTTTTCCTTGAAATCATGTTTCCTCTTTCAGGGTTTACTTAACAGCCATATTGGCTTAGCATGACAATTGTGAAAGCTTTTCTTTTCCCATTAAATGTTTCCTCAAATGGCTTGCTAACATATATCAGTTTGCCTCCTGAATGCCAATCCTGGCTTGGAGTCTGTAGTAGTAGTACAATTGAAGGCCAAGATCTTTGAATCACTGCAGGCCCTAGGTGCCTTACAATGAAAGTCATTTTAATTATTAATATTTTACCTGAAGTGCTCCCTTATCCAAAGGTTCTCTTACAATTCCATCTAATTCAGGATACCCTATTACTATCTTTTTGGCTTAATTCCCTAGATGTCAGAAGGGCGTTTTCATTCAGTGTCATAGAACATCATCTTTTGGGAAAACCAGATGTTTATTCATATGCCATTT